TTTTTTTTTTGCTGACTCCCCCCCCCCATTACATATTTTTGTAATCATCCTAAATAAAAAAAAAATATATCATTCAAAACCGGAAACTGCATCAAAAAGTAAACTGAAGTATTTGAGTGTCACCCGGTGGCTATTTTTGGTATGATGCTTAAAATCTCACGGGAATCTTGACTTTTGTGATATCAACTTCAAATTTGGAACATAACATAGTTAGAAATATGTCTTTGACTTTATAGCAATTTTAGATTTCAAAATATTGGTGAGGTATTTTTATATCATTTTTTAAGTACAGTACATGTTCTTAACAGACCACCAACCTTTGGTCTTCAACTTTTGCAAGATATATACTCAGAATTCTGAGACAAAAAGTCAAAATTGTGAGATGTAACGGAAAAAAGGAAGTCAGAATTATGACAAACTCATAAAAAAAAAAGTCCAAATTGTGAGATAAAAAATTGCAATTATCTTGTTTTTTTTTCTTTCCGTGGTGGAAACAAGCTTCCATATTTTTGCCATAAAATCAATTTTTGATCGCCGTCTCGTCTCGGGGTGTTTGGGATCCTCACCTGCTTACTGTACTGTGCTCCATGAGGTCTCAGGTAAAGAATAGAGGTACTGATGATATCGATCATCGACAACTGCCTGTGACACAAGTAAGTCGAGCCAAATGGTTTGTAAAACCAGCGAGATTATCTCTCTCCATTGCCCTTGTAAAATGCACTCCCTGCTTCATACTGTCATTTTCAGAAATTAGTCAATACATTTGCATGCTGCAATTTACATTCTTGTAAAGTTCAGATGCTTACATTAATGTGGTTTGATGTGTAAATGTGTAGCAAAAAATAGTGTGTACTGAATGAATCCTCCGCCTCATTCACTTGTTAGTACACTTGAGTTCAGAAGGAAACAGTAGCTTACTACGTACTGAATCCTACTGTAGTCACACTGGAAATGCAGTGTGCTGGTGTATATTGCAAATGTAGTGGTCATATGCATACTATTTCTGCAGTATACGGTAAGTAGTATGCTATTCTGATTTGTCTCTTCTGGTGCCTTAGATCCAAATTGTAAGAAACTGTATGAAGTGTTATGGCATGGATGAATAGAAATTAACTTTAGAGTAAAAATCTGTAATGTTTCAAATGAAATCAAGTGTCATGTTCAAATCATGGTCATGATCAAATCAAATCATGGTCAAGTTCACAATGTTCCCAAGATTTATTTTTTTTTGTCCTGTAATATTTGCTGATTGAGCAAATGTATGCATAAAGTATTGAGTTTTTTCTTTTCTTTTCTTTTTTTTTCAGATTAAAATGAAATGTTTGATTGCCAGCAGCTTTGCTTTTCTAACTAGAGTGCTTGGTGTTTTTATATAGAAGGGATTTTAACAATGTGATATCAGGGAATTGTCTCGGTCTTCCCCGTTAGTCCCTGTAGCTCAGGTCACAGTAAAATCAAGTACTATTCTGCCTCCGAACAGCATCATTTCTAATAAATGCTTTATTTTAAGAAGCTGGTTGATACAGATCTGTGACTTTATACTAGCTGATTATTAATATACTGCTGCAAAAAGGCCTCAGTGGTGGTGTTTTTGTTGTATTTTGGCTTAAATGTTTGACATATGTATATCTAGTCCTGTCTCAAAATAAAAGACATCTTTGTAAAACTCAAATGCAGAAATGTGTCTTTAATATACAAAGTCTGAGTAATTTGGAAAAAGACACCAACCCAATACTAATTTCCCATACTTTACCTACTACTTCACAAAAGTAGACTCGTTGTATAGCACCACCCAGTGGTGTACAGTCCAAAATATACATACATTGTATATTTTTATAATTTTGTCATAATTGTTTAGTACAAATTTTTCTTCATAGATCATACTATTTAGAATCCATTTAAGGCGGTGCTTATCCACACTATTACATCATAGAGTTGTACATTCCACAAGCTGTCGTTTTGACATACTGCTTTCAATATAAGCTGTTTGTAGACTAACAACAAAGTTTTGAGTTCTGAAACTTGCAGAATGTTTTTATAGTACAATGACCTCTTATATGTCAAAAGATGAAGGGAATTTTGGTTTCTCAGTTCATGACCCCTTTAATAGTTAAATAAGTACTCAGCACCGTTAGAAATAGTTCGTCAGCAATTCGAAGTTCTTACTGAACTTGATCGACGATATAGCGGACTGTCACATGGCACAAGTTACTTTTCTCAGCGCTGGTCAGTGTGGACCAAATCGCAGTCGTTTGTAATTACAGAAATAGTTTTTTAAACTTGATTTTTATATTTACTGTATATCACTACAACAGATCACTATGTAGTTACAAAAAATGGAACATATCAAATAAGAATATAAACGCGGTAATCAATTAAAAAAATTTTTTCAGTGTAAACAATATAAACCTTTCAAATGTAACTTTTCCTTTTTTAAAAAGAACATTAAGGGTGTGTTCACACTTGTAGTTCGGTTCGTTTGGTCCGGACCAAAAAGGAAAATTATACATTTGGTTCTGGTCCGCTTAGCGTTCACATTGGCATTTTTGACAGCGAACCTAAAGATGCCGAACCTAAAGGCATAGTGATACGTTCACAACCTGATTAGTCGGCTTGAAAGGTGCGTTAGACTTAAAGCGGCGCTGCGGGTGTATGATATCAAAGCACTGATTAACCGATCGGTCTGCTCAGCGCCGCTTTAAGTCGAACACACCTAAAGCCGTCTGCTGGACTAAGCGCGCTCATTCTTGCGTGTACATATAATTTTATTTTCACCACCTGCAAACTCACAAGGAGCTCATAAAAGGCACTTTTACCTCATCGTTGCTCCACGTTTGCCCTCCGCTCATTTTGTTTTGGTTACACAGTGTCTCATGTCGCATAGCGTCGCATCTCATCATTACTTCCGGTTTTTGGTTCGTTTAGAAGTATTTGGTCTGTGTTGCGTTCATATATCATTCAACCCGTACCAGAGTTCGTTTGGAAGTGGACTGAGACCCATCTTTTTAGCAGTCTCGGTCCGCTTGTTTGGTGCACACCAGGGTTCGGAATATCATTCAACCCGTACCAGAGTTCGTTTGGAAGTGGACTGAGACCCATCTTTTTAGCAGTCTCGGTCCGCTTGTTTGGTGCGCACCAGGGTTCGGATGGCAGCGTTCACACTTACTCAAACGAACCGTACTAACAGAGCAATCGCACCAGAGTTCGTTTTAATCGAACCAAACATGCCAAGTGTGAACACACCCCAAGTTTATTGCCGTAAGTCTACAACTGAGGTAAAATGTTCGTAACTGGAGTAGACTCTGCTGCAAAGTCCTTTTGAGGTCGACATCATTTTTACAGGGCAAAAAGTCTTCTTCTTGTATTTTTTGTGTCCCTGAGTTGGTTGGCTGCATAGTGTACAAACAGGCAATTTTTGTACACGTGACTTCTTGATTCCAACATTTGTAAGATTGCCTGTATGTTTCCGTTTATACAGTGTAGCCCTGGCCCAGGCTGAAGGGCTGTCAATACTCTGTGATGTGTCAGTTTGGCTGGTGGACATCGTCACTGGTGTTGTGTTGGTGGAAGTAGCTGGGATCACTCGTGTGGCAGATGAAGCGATTTTAGCTAGAGGTTTGATCATGATGGAAGTGACTGGCGTTTTCCAATCAGTCACACGAGATACTCTGACCGGCAATAGTGAGTGGGGAATTGGCGCAGACTCACTGTGCTGTAATGGCAGCAGAGCCTTTGGAACTGGCATCGCAGTGTCTGTATTTCCTTTTAAAACCTTGGTCCCTGCTTTGCTTGAAATGTGTTCAAACTTTATCTGTGGGAGGTCAGGTGGAGGGAGAACAGACGGCTGGCATGGAGCTAGAGGTAGCTCTTTTGAAGAGATTAACATGGTCTTCAGCACGGCAGCAGATGGCAATTCAGTCGACCGCAGGTTGACGAGTCTCTCTTGCCGGCGGATAAAATCACAGACTGTTTTGGTGTCAATTTTTGGCAAAGGTATTCCCAGTATGCTCAGAACCGGATCCTCTACCAATACGCGATGCTGAAGTCTCTCATAGGCTTTTGCGATGGTGGTTTTTACAGGGCTTGCCGGAGTACTGTGTGGTGACCCCAACCAGAGAAGTTTCACTAGTGTGTACATCAGCCTGTTGTGCTGAGAACTGATGTCTTGCTGGGCCAGTGCAAGATCGTCTCTCTTTGTGCGACAATAAAGCGCATTACCCCAGTGTGTTTTGTAGAGCTGGTGAAACTTCGGTGGTTGTTTGTCGTGTTCCTCTACAGCACTCCATGCTTCGATGAGCCTGTTCCTCTGTTCTGTTGTTAGGCTCAACTTGTCCTCAGTCAGACAAATCTCCACCAGCAGAGAACAGAACTTTTCCAGCTGTTGGAAGCCAGGAAGCGGGTTGGAACTACAAACATCCTCCTGTTGAAAAGTTTCAAAAATTGTATATTAAGTTAAAATGCTTACTCAAAAAGAAAATAAAAGTTATCATATTTTCTTCTAGGGCTGTGCGAATTGGCCAACATTTGTTTTTATATTGGTCTCTGGTATATATATATATATCTCAATAGTTTCTACACATTATACATATTTCTACATGTCGCCCGATTCCGAAAACGTTCCGATAATATCATGCATCCCTACTTTTAATGATCAACGATTGAAAGGCGAGTAAAATAATGTCATCTCATTGTACCCAGCAAGGTTATTTTCGTAAACGAAAATTAAGACGAAGAAGATTGATCAAAAAACATTTTCGTAAACTGAAAATAAAAATGTCTAAAAAAAACTCAAACGAAACTAAACTAATAACAGTTATTGAAAAGCAAACTGACATAAAATAATAGTTACCAAAAATAAATAATCGTTTCCCCATAGCGGAAAAAATATATGAGCTGTGTGGCCCAAATATCTGTAAATGGCGCATCATGCACGTGAAGTTATCTGACGAAGAGACGCTAAGCAGTTTAAAGCGGAGTCCTGCACAGGTCCTGTTTGATTAACCTGCACCCACAGAAGGGGTGGGGTAAAAAAATCGATACAGCATAGTATCGCGATATTTTCCGCGGCAATACTATATCGATACACGGATGCCAAATATCGATCTTTTATTCTACTATTTGGTAGAATAATAAAATCAATTGCTTTACAATCCACTAGATGGTGGTGTTGAGTTTTTTTCTGGCGAGGTCAGCTGGGTCACCTTAAAGGAACACTTATTTTCCAACTCCCCTAGAGTTAAACAGTTGAGTTTTACCGTTTTCGAATCCATTCAGCCGATCTCCGGGTCTGGCGGTAGCACTTTTAGCTGTAGCTTAGCATAGATCATTGAATCTTATTAGACCGTTAGCATCTCGCTCAAAAATGACCAAAGAGTTTCTATATTTTTCCTATTTAAAACTTGACTCTTCTGTAGTTACATCGTGTACTAAGACCGACGGAAAATGAAAAGTTGCGATTTTCTAGGCCGATATGGCTAGGAACTATACTCTAATTCTGGCGTAATAATCAAGGAACTTTGTTGCCGTACCATGGGTGCAGCAGGAGCAATGATATTACGCAGCGCCTGACAATAGGCTAACTTTCGTCAACATAACCAACATGACCACCTGCTTACACAGGGAGCGTACTGGGGACTATTTTCAGGCGCTGCGTAATATCATTGCGCCTGCTGCACCCATGGTACGGCAGCAAAGTTCCTTGAACGGTAAAACTCAACTGTTTAACTCTAGGGGAGTTGGAAAATGAGCCTATTTTCAAAAATAGTGGAGTGTTCCTTTAAGCATGCCGTAAGTTAGTACAATAAAGATGGCGGCATCACGGAACGTTATCAGGAAAGCCCTGTCCGCAAATTAAATCGGATGTAAGACTATGTTTTATTTATTTTAAATTTAACAGTAATTTACTTTAAAATGCCCCAATGGCTGAAGGGTCTGCACAACTTTTTTGTACAAGTTCAAGTTACATTGTTCAAAATACTTATAGTAGCACAGCAGTGCATACCTGTTTAAATTTAATTAAGGTGGACTAGACTAGACTGTAATACAAATAGTTGAGTTTGCCAAGTGCATACATCATTTATGACAGGTTTTCATGAAAGTGTTGGTCAGTTTGTCTGCTTGACAATCCCATTTTGCATTGCAGCAATAAAATTTAACTGAAAATTTTTTATTTTTAGTTAAAACAGATGTTGCCAAAGTTTTCATTTGGGGACATAATTTGAATTTGGAAAAAGGTATTAAATTGCAATATATCGCAGAATATCGCAATACTTTTAAAATTGTATCGTGATAATATTGTATCGTGGGGCCTCTGGTGATTCCCATCCCCTAACCCGCAGTGCTTAAAAGAACAACCGACCCGTTATCCGACAGCAGCACTAATTTAATTCTGTACCCGACCTGACCCTGCAAATGACAGCGTAAATACTATTCTGTTAATTCTGCTAAACTTTAAATCGAAACAAAATCTAAAACTGAAACTAAACTATATAAAAACTAAACAGAAATATGTTCACAAAAAAAACTAACAAAATTATTAATGAAACTAATAAAAACTAAACAGAATTTTATTGCAAATTTGAAAACAATATTAAAATAAAACGAATTTAAAAATGCAAAACTATTACAAGCTTGGTACCCAGTTTTTGAAACTGCTTATTGCGTTCATAGAGCGAATCTTTTGCTGATTGTTTACAATGTAAAAGGAAGTGTCAGAAGACTGTATATCGATATAAACGGTATTGCCTCATACCATAATCGCTTGTAAAAAATATATATACTGTATATATCGATATTTCATACAAACTCGATATACCGTCCAGCCCTATTTCATTCTAGTAGAGGTAAACATTAGGGGTGCAATGGTTCAAATTTCTTACGGTTCGGTTTGTATCATGGTTTTAGAGTCAGTTTCATAACGGTTCGGTATGTGCTGTGTTTAGGAAAAAAATAACTATGCTGTCAAATAAAAATAAAGAAAATAAGAACAAATAATCTAACTACAAGCTACAGCACAAACAAATACAATAGTGCAAAGACAAATTAATTAAACAGTGCTTTTCAGGTTTTTTAGGTAGGTCTAACTTTAGTTTTTAGGTCCAGAAATTGAATAAAGTAATCAAATGTAAAATACCATTGCATATTTAACTATGAATTAAAGGTTATTTCCTTATTAAAGTAACAAAAGCTATTCAATCAAGAGCAGTGAGTGATTTCCTTGTCTTTTGTTGTTTGATTAAGATTAAAAAAGTGCTGTCACTTTAAGATAATGCACGGATCCAGTGCACTGATACTGTGCGTTCAACCAACTATGTCTGCTAGGATACTCACCAAGACAGGCATTTTTACATAATTTTTGTGTGAATTTGTCCATTCAAGCTCAAGACTTGAAAACTAACTCAATATTTGCACGCTTTCTGAGACAAGCGTTTCCCGCTTCAGATGAGCGCACACACAAATCTTGTGACAGTGACATGTGACATGTGGCCAAGTATGATGACCCATACTTGGAATTAGTGCTCTGCATTTATCCCATCCAAAGTGCACACACACAGCAGTGAACACACACACACCGTGTGCAGTGGGCAGCCATTTTTTGCTGCGGCGCCCGGGGAGCAGTTGGGAGTTCGATGCCTTGCTCAAGGGTACCTCAGTCGTGGTATTGAAGGTGGGAGAGAGCGCTGTACATTCACTCACTCCACCTACAATCCCTGCCGGTACGAGACTCGAACCCGCAACCTTTGGGTTACGAGTCCGACTCTCTAACCATTAGGCCATGACTTCCCCATCGTCTTCTCACTGCGCACGCGAGTTCTCAGTCACGTCTTCTTGCTCTTGAAAGTTCGAAATGGCAAGGATTACAAGAGTTTAGTTTAAACACAGATAGCAACATGTGCTGTTCAGGTCTCACCTGTGCACGCGCGCTATCAACACCTGGCTGATGACGGCATAAATGACCAGTCATATTCCAGCATACGGCACTCGCATTGAACAAAGAGTGACTGGTTTGTCCACGTTTTTTGTTTTAATGTTAATGTATTGCGAAGCCAGAATGCATATCCATCAACAAAAACATACATTAGCTGAACTCTGTTTTACGTGTTGTTATTTTTAACAAACCATATTACAGATGCATTGTCAGATCTAAGTTACTTCCCTAAATTACACCCCTAGTAAACACTAAGTTACTTACAAAGGCTGGAGAGTGAGCTGCAGTGGTCTTGTCAGTAGTAAGGTTGATGTGGGCTGGGATGGTAGGCACTATGTCGTTATCTGCCTCTGGGTCACTCTTGTACACCACATCGTCCTCATCTGTGTCAGACTGGCCAGGCTGGATCACCTCTTCCTCTGGACTGGGTCCATCCTTGGAGATGTCACTGAGGGAGAAAGGACCAGATTCTCCTGTGCTTTGGCTGAAGAGGTATTCCAAACCAAGCAACTCATTCGACGTCACATTAGCAGGTGCGTGGATATTCTCCTCTACAGTCTCTCCAAACAGCTGCTGACATCGGGTGTTGAGGCGATCAATCAGAGGGGCAGAGTACGCTCTGTGGCATCGACTTTTGCCACCGAACACCGCATCAGAACTGCAGCCTGAATTCCAGCGAGCGATTCCACTAATCAGGTAAACCTGACAGGGATGTGCTGCACAGTGGGGACCTTTAAAAAAATCACCCAAAAATAAAAAAATTCTGTCATTAATTACTCACTCTCATGTTGTTCCAAACTCGTAAGACCTTCGTTCATCTTCGGAACACAAATTAAGATATTTTTGATGGAATCTGAGAGCTGTCTGACCCTCGCATAGACAGCAAGGGAAATACCACGATCAACGCACAGAAACGTAGCAAGGACATCGGTAAAATAGTTCATGTGACATCAGGGGTTCAAACTAAATTTTACGAAGCTACGAGAATACTTTTTGTGCGCAAAGAAAACAATAACAACATCATTTATTATGCAATTCTTCTCCCCGAGTTACCGTCTTTTGGAGAGTACGCCAAAACGTAATCAACGCAATCAGCGTTGTTTGCATTCAGTAGACAGTGTGCACATGCTGAACGTAAACAATGCTGATTCTGTTTTGGGGTCCTCTTCAAAAGACCAAAAGACGGTAACTCGGGAAGAAGAATTGCTTCTCAGAGACGTCAGAGAGGTGTTAGATTCCATCAAAAATAACTTAGCTTGTGTTCCGAAGATGAACGAAGGTCTTACAGGTTTGGAACGACATGAGGGTGAGTAATTAATAACAGAATTTTCATTTTTGGGTGAACTAACCCTTTAACTAAATAAATAAATGCAATTACATTAAACTCATGATTACAAATAACTGAATTCACCCATATAGTAAAGATAACAATGATATGCAAAATAATATCTTGAGTAAGTGCGATCACAGATGTAGCATTTATGAGCAATATGCAGATGATGGAAACTCATTTACTTATTAACTAGCTGCAATTCAACTTGTACCTGGAATCATGTTGGACAAAGCTTTGTGGAATCCCTCCAGGCTGTTGCTTCCACGGAGACATTTGTAACAAGGGACGTCAATGCCATTGATGGTAGTGGTTTGAGCCAATCTGTACATATTCATGTCCGGAGGATCCTGAATGCACTCTAAGTGTTGCTGCTGGCTTTCCCACACATTGTCTATGGCCTCTGTAAATAAACCATAATGAACAGAGACAAATTATATATATGTATAT